ATATATCTTACTAAATATATGGTGGTGGCCGCGTGTGCCTCTAAGATAGCAGCTCAGTATCACACTAATTAGCCACGAGCGGGCAAATGCGTTTTCTCGCGAGTGCCTGGCCACGCCGACTAAGTTTAGAAACAAATTCAGCAAAAACTCATTGCCCTCATCGGCCGATCGATGCTACCACCAAGAGTCGTGAGCACATACTCACGGAGTTACCATCCAACTCGCAGAGCTGCGGATGGTATTTTTAAGAACATATCTCATCGCACCCACCATCACCTTACATCCATACTCCTCTCCATAACATTGTACTATCACGATTCATTCCCCAAAGTGGCATATGTTATAATTGAACACAATTTTGATTTTTACGAAAGAAAGTACAATTAATTGTTTTATTTTGGATAGGACATTTATTGCAAGAACCTGATTGAAATTTTAACGATTATGAACGTCTTACTCTGGGAATATATTAAAAAGAAGGGAATTTTCATAAATTCCCGCTTAAGGAATATTCGCGAGATAATCCTTAACGTTGGATGGATCCAATTTTCTGAATCCGTTCGCGTCACAAATGCCAACTTCAATATTATCCGCAGTCATCTGTCCCTCAAAGCCTTCCTTTAGCGTCAGGATGGCAGTGTGAACGGCATCGTCCAATTCCAGATCCTCACTGTACCTCTTTTCGAGGAACGTTTTGCCATTAATGAAATTTTTACCCATTGCGGTTGCTTTCCATGCGAAATATGTGCCAGATGGATCACATTGGAACAAATAGGGCCTGTCATTGTCCCAACCGCAGATCAGAAGAGACACTCCAAAGGGTCTAACACCTCTACAAATTAGCAATGACAACAATTTAATACTATCGCTTACTTGATTACCTCTTACTACAGTCAGAAACTGCACATTTACATTCGGTTAGATAACTTTTCTGTATTTAAAATTTAAAAATATATAATTTTTAATTTAAAATTTGAGTAAAAATACAAATGGTCAAAGACTAATAGCTCACCCAGATTGCGTGTACTCTTGCATGACCATCGCAACGCGTTGCACGAGTTGCGCGGTCGGGATAGGTTCTCGATACACCAGAAGATACTGTTGTGCCATTTTCCGTGCTTGCTTCACTAGTAATCGGTAATCTGGGCCCATGCCACTGTAGACCATGCCGATGTGCTTCGTGATCATTTCGACCTTGCTTACGCTATGTTCGTCGTAGAGGATGGACTTGTGCTTGTTTTCCGTAGCAAGAACGACGCCGTTTAACGCCTTGATGCCGACGCTCGGCGCGCCGGCGGCTACCGCCGCCAAGGCATATTCTATTTGCACTAATTTGCCCGATGGACTGTAAAAAACAGTATCATTAATCGTATGAATTACATGATATACAAATAATTATAAATGTTATGACATGATCTTGTACTTTTAGATTTAACACATATGCTCCAGAGATTTTGACAAGTCATCCTGTCATACGTTACGTTTAGCATTTTCAAATCTTAGTATACTCGAACAAAGTGATTATTTATGCATTTGTCAACAAATCGCCAATATGAATAAAACGCCGTTAATTAAGCAAAAAATTTGCATTCACAATAATTAAAGAATGTGCTGAGTGTAGGCTCGATTTAGAGGTTAGGATTGGTTATGTTCAATCTGGTTTTCAATGGGATCTATCTCTCACCGCAAACACAGAATATTGGCTTAAAACATATTGTTTCGTACGCAATTATTGCGTTACTGTAACTGTATTTACCTAAAGGTTGTTAACGAAAAACTGTATCGTTCCGAAGCCATGACAATTGCTTTGCAACAGTACGATGAGTACGAACCACGAACGGCACGAACAACAGCGTTAACGACACGATCACACGCACACGTATACTGCCATAAGAATACATACACATATATACATACATACATACATATATCCATGGTAGAAATACAAGGGTATGCTCTTGCGCATATTGCCGAACCCAGCCAATCAGCGACTTTTCCAACCTTACGTCACACTGAGCGGCACATTTAAGCAGCGAATCTATAATAGTCATTTATAAAAGCATTTTGAGCGGACAATATGTGAATACAAAATAATGTTGATCATTTATGTGAGAGAAAATTCTGTTTTATAAATAAATAAATATATATGAACAAAAATATATAAATATAAAAAACGCACGTGACATACGGATAAACGCTCATCGTTTCCCGAATTTGTCTCTCGTTGTAGATGTTAGAAACGTTATTGTTATTTGACGAATTTTATAATTATTTTATGTGGATTTGTCTAAATATATGATATTACAGAAAATATTATTATTATTAAGAAAAAAAGAATTGTGTGCATTGAATAAAAATCATTGCGACGTACGGAAAAATTTCACATAAAACGAGATTTTAATTTCCAGTCATTTATTATTAAAATTCTGCGAATTATTAGTTTTAATCAAAACTGGTCGGAAAACGATTGGAAAAGAATTGTCAGCTGAGACGCAAAACAAAAATATATTGTGGCGTACGACATAAAGAACTATATATGCAGAGGAAAGATGCAGATAAAAGATCAAATAACAATAAATGCAAATATTTAATATACAGGTTTTTTATTAGTAAATTTTGACATCTTTCTTCTTTTTTGCCTGTGATTTGCGATTGCAATCGCTCGGTTCATTTCGCGCAGCCTAATATATGTCCTAGTCCTAATGAGGCATAGTAATGCCTCTCTCGGTATTTTAATTTTCAATTGTGGTTCTATTATTTTTGCTAAGTTTTGAAATATAAGATTTTCTTTATTCAAACTGGATCCGTGATATTTAGCAAACTCAATATTCATTATACGAGCACATTGTAATAATTTGTCACTCGGACACATACATTTTCCTCGCGAAATAACTTGCAGCCAATCTTGGTCACCCGTTGTTTCCAATTGACGCGTTTCAATACCTAATGTTTTATCTGTGCTTTTAAATCTAAATGCTACGTATCCGGCTATATATTTTGCTTTATATTTTGCTGGTGTCTGTTCTTCTGTACTGGACGATGCTGCTGTCTGTTCTTCTGTACTGGACGATGCTGGTGTCTGTTCTTCTATACTGGACGATGCTGGTGTCTGTTCAACATCCATCGAAACTTCATTTGATACAGGCAAAGGCATTGTTTCAGCTAACACATTTTCGTTTGATGTTAGTGGAGGTACTGCATGGAGATGCAACGTCGGGATAGCATCAGGATGTATCTTCCTAGTTCGTATAGGTGAATAACCTAGTAGATGTTGTTGTAAGGGCTTCGTAAAAGCTTCATCAGCAAAATGCTTCGAACATATCCTAGCTGAAGCAAACAAGGTTTAAGATTCTTAAATATATGCTTATAATAATAAACAAGAGAAATCTATACAAAAGTACAAACCATATTTTGGTGAAATATTTTCTTTTCCGCATGCTTGACGCCACTTATTAAACAGTGCTGGATCCTTTGGGAAGGAAAAATATTTTATTTTTTTTCCTTCGATCTTTCTGGTCTTTGCCGGATAGTTCCCACACCCTTTCACATTACACGCCATTGCGTACACTGTAATAATCACAAACGAATTACTCGACATAAACAGCGAACCGAGCGAACGCAGCCATTGCGAATCACCGAGTACATCCGATTCATTCCGATGCTACACGAATATGACGTAAGTTTGTATAAAAGTGGTGGGAATGCGCAGTGGTCTGACACGGTATGAGCATACCCTTGTATTTCTACCATGCATATATCACACTACAAATCCATGAAGTTGGTGGAGTGGGAGTGGTTCGACAGCGTCCGAAAGTCGCACGCGAAATGTTCCTAGGAACATCTCTAGCAGAGAGGTTCTCTCTTTGTCTCTAGATAAATAACACACTTGCTTGTTTATTGTTTGCAAATTTAAAGAATAAATAAAAATTAATATAATTCTTTACCTACTGTATAAACTTACTCGTAAATGTATAAATTTTAAAGAAAATAAAGAATAAAGATAATAACTCAACTAAGCTAACACAATGTCCAAAATCGGGAACATAAGGTACTACGTCAAGGGTCGACAGGAGTAGAGCTTAGCTGCGAGAGAGTCTGTATAGTGTATTTATTTATTATAAATTTTTTAAGAGCCAAAATGGAAAATCCGGCTATGTAGCGGGTTGCGGCTGGTCTTTATACTGATTAAAACGAGCATAATTTTAATGATTGAGATTCATTAATTAATTTGGCTAAAATTTGGGAAAAACCGTTTCAAGCAGCTGCTTTGGCAAGGAAAGCTGCTTTGAAACGGTTTTTCCTAAATTTTAGCCAAATTAATTAACGAATCTCATTAAAATTATGCTCGTTTTAATCAGTAAGATCAGCGCCGCAACCCGCTACTACCGGATTTTCCATTTTGGCTCAGGGCCGATATCACTGCAGTTTCCGATTAACGTAATCCCCGATTAAACTCACTCTGCGTCTCTTTCTAACTATCCCCCTAGAAAGAGACGAATAGTGAGTTTTATCGGAGGATCACGTTAATCGGAGACTGTGATAAAATTTATAATAAATAAAATACGGACTCGCAGCTAAGCCAACCCGACAGAGGTCTCCACCGTGCCAATTCGGAGTTCGGCCGTGACCCTGTCGACCCTTATTAAAGACGTCATTAAAACGATGTCCCAATTTTCGATATTATTGTTAGCTGTACTGAGAAAAAAATATTTATTAGGTGACTCCTAATAATAACTATTTACTTAATTAATATAATACACATATTTATTTAGAATTAGATATTTTTATTTGAATTAAGTAAATAGTTATTTGTGTAACAAGTGCTGTAATAAGTTGGAAATTGGACGTGCGGGTTGATCGCACTCACCTCCGGCTCGTGCGTCCACTCCGCACGTCCAATTTCCAACTTACAGCACTTGTTACACAAATAACTATTATTATTGCTAATAAAAACATAATACTCTGCAAAGGATAGAGCTCGCGTTAATAAAGCGCGGCAATATAGCGTTCATCTCAAAGTTTGACATATTCTTAAAAGATACTCTCTTTTCTTTACTTCATCGACTATCTTCGGAATTAATTTGAAATAGAGGAAAATCGCGCACTCGATTGTCGACGTATCGTGTCATTTCGACGAAGCGAGGACCGATTTCGCTGATTCCGCTTTGCTCTGCGTCGCGAGAGGGAAACCGCGGGATGACAGCATGACCCAGGACCCAGAGTTTCCTCGTCGATTGTTTACGCGATACATCAAAACGTGGCGAATTAGCGAATATACGAGTATGAATTGACCCGGACCGATCGATAAGAGGAAAGAAAGATGATCGGCGACACGGCGCAGATCGACAGGGAGCTCGTTGAATGGATCGATGGCATCCCGTTTTCGAAACCCGCGAGAAACTTGACGAGAGATTTCTCGGATGCCGGTAAAATCTCTGATTTCAGGCCGGTTTTCGCATTAAGAGTGTTTTTGACAAATTTAAAGGCCATTTCGACTAAACTTCGATTAATTCAACCGGCTGTTTAAAGTAAAATTTTTAACTATATATATAATTGATTGAATTTTTTCCTACATTAAACAATGGAAAATTAATAATTTCTGTCAACAAAGTGGTGTAAATGTTACTTGATTAGTTTATCACTATTTATAAACTAGCTCAGTGTTATTAAAATAAATAAAAATATATAGTAAAATATATATGATTATTAAGGTAGAATTTGTTAAATTCCAGCTAATTTAAAAGTTTAAATTATAAGAACGTAAAATTCCTAGAATATTTTATATTAAGTCTTATTAGATTCTAATCTCTTAGATTCAAATTGTGTGATATCAATAAAATTATTAAAATTATTTTAAAACTTTAAAAGCACAGAACACACAATTATGGAAATGTTAGGCTTACAGTATCTTGAGTTTATTGCACCCTGGTTTTGAAATGCCAAGTAGAATTAATCAGAATCTGATTGAACGTTGTTTTACTGTCCTTTGACAGTTCTCACGGCGGAGGTCCTCAAGTTATATTATCCCCGGCACGTGGAGCTTCACAATTATGTTCCGGCAAATAGTGTAAACACAAAGAGGGAGAACTGGAAAATGTTGAATCGAAAGGTGCTCATGAAACTTGACATGAAATTGAGCAGCGATACGATCTATCAATTGGCAAATGGGTCGCAACGTGCAATCGAGAAACTCTTGACCAAGTTGAGAATGAAAGTTCTGAAGGACGGTGTTGAAATGCACAAGTTGAAGCTCAAAGATGTAGAAGGTAGACGCGCAGATATTAAATAATCACATTTGCTTAACAATAATGCTTTGGCTAATGTCTCATTCAGTTTTAAATTTGATGTGCTCTCTACAGAAGAGAAGATTGGAGATGGCTCGCCGGAGAACGATGGTTACCTAAAATTGCCAGTAGAAAGTTCAAACAAGTTTGATGTCGATAACGAAATTCGTGAAATTAAGCCGTCTAAATTTACGTGTCTCAAACGAGGAATCCTCGTTGTCTTCAGTTGGATTATGTGTCTCTTCCGTATATGGAACATCTTCAGCTGTTGCATACCTTCTCGTTTTCGCAGGCGTGAGATATTTAATAAATAAATAAGACAATTTTTTTGTGATTGATAAAAATTGATAAATTTTCAAACGCATTTAAAGCAGGCGACGCGCTCGTAAACGTCACAACGGAGCGAATTGAAGATGCAAACGGCGAAAATGTGCAACGTACGATTTATTCGGAGTTGAAGAAGGACCTACGCGAAAAGGAAGAAGTGATAAGCACTTTAAACCACAAAATCGCGTATCTGGAGAGTTCAATGAAACTCAAGGATCTGCGCATCTCCAGTCTGGCGGGACAGATTTTGCAAAACGCTGTCGAAATGGATCAGTCGGCGAAGTCGCAATCAATCGACGGCGTACGCGCCAAATTACGTTCGCGATCGCACAATTTTCATGAAACTAAAGCGAATTAGAAATCCGTAGTAATGCAAAGTTGCAAGCTTAACTGTGAAATAAGAAATAAAAAATTATTGAGATTTACTGTTTTAATTATTTATTATATTGCATGTAACATATGTAATAGAGGCTTATTCTCTTTAACACATTATGACTTACAGTCTTCTTTTAGCTCAAATTAGGCCATGTAGAAATTAAAAAGTCGAATTTCACTCGTATAATTTAACTTGTTTGTTGAACATAGTCGCTTTCTATAAGATAAACCATGGCTCAGTTAATCAAAGCTTCTGTTTTTTAATGGAACATAATTAAGTATCATATCGTAATTCTTTGCCGTGTATCGACAATTGTTTTGTTTCGACTTAATAGTTTGACTGATTAATTAATTAATTTTTTTATAGTTGAAAGAGAATTGTGCGAACGTATATACATATATATATTCGATTACATTTTAAAATTCTTTATTTCCTTTTATCTTTATATCACATTTTATCCTATATCTAAAGATTATGATGTATCAAAATTATATACAAGAATAATAATTTGAGCTTTAAGAGAAATGTTCTTCGCACGCAAGAATGCGCGAAGATTGCGTTCGAAATAATGTCGAGTTCATTCGTCGACAGAACAATATGTAAAATTGGACTGTTCAAAGTCACACCAGGAAAGTTGCATCAAGGCCATTTTCTCATCATCGTTTCTCACCGCGAGAAGTGGGGATGCCGATATTGTCCGCTCACCTATATCTGAAAGGGGGTCTCGGTGCTCTCTCGTTGGTAGTCAATAGTATATCACCGGCTCTTGGATCGTAACGGCACACGAAATACTGGAGAGTTTTAATGAGAGTTCTGCTATAGCGCATGTGAGTACGATTATGTAAATTCGATTAACGTATCTTTCTTATACAGTACATCCTTGCGTACATTTATTACGGGATTTATTGGGAACTCATTCTACGCGGGAAATTCTATTTTTATAGAAAATATAAATAAACACAAATATATTTTATTTGCTTTGATCGGGAATATTGCAACGATAGAAATATTGAAAAATATTTTAGATATTTTTTATTGTAAATTTAAAAAATAATGAATTTGACAAAATATCGAGATATCGACAGCTATCGAAATGAAGGTTGTTACAAGACAGATGCATGATATCACGCATAAAAAAAGATCTTTCATCAGAAATTGATCTACAGATTTTAATACGATAGATTTAAAGGAAAACTATATTCGTGACATGGTTATTAATTCGGGACAGAAAGTGGGAGACATCGGAAAAAGAGAAAAGAAAACGTGAGCTCAGGTAGTTCATTTTCAGTGACAAGTTTAACAAAATTGAGTTTGACTTCTTAGCTGATTGTGAGTAACTTTGTTGCATAATGAAGGGGTAAAAGGGAATATAATAAGATTGTTTTCTCAAAAAAGAGATGATTTCCTATGTTAAGATATTAATTGATTAATGTATTCTAGAAATAAAATATACGCAGATGTAATTTCATTATTTGAGGAAAAACTTTGGCTCGTTAATATTAAAATTATACTAAACATTCCATGTTAAAGTTTTCTTGTGAATTTTGTTACCACATGTATTATAATAATTGATCAAATAAACATTTAACAACCACTTACAAATAACACATTTTTATCTGATTCTTATATAACACGTGATTGTTATTTTTATTTCTTGTTACCATTATTTTATATAAAAACAAACACTTATTATTCATATTATCTTATATTATATGATTTTCCTTGAAACAATTATAATCGATTCTGTTTTATTTCAAAATTTACTTATTATTAATTGAGATTAATCGATTGGCTTTCTTAATAATAATATATTTATCGCTTCACGAAAAGTTGTTTTTTATATCATGCATCTCAAACTATTTTACTGATTTATTTGATTTTTAACAAAGTACACTGGATAAAGTCACACTGAAGAATAAATTCGGTATCTGTAAAACGGTATATATGGTCAATGACCTTCTTGTACGGTGCAGCACGCTGCAGTCACGTAGAATCCGGATATACTTTCGAGCTGTCCCGACCGTTCCGACCAAGCTATAAAAATGTAAAAGCGAAGATTTGCCTCCTTAGAATAAAAAATTCGCATTCAAGGCGACGCATCTCGACGCGCTTTCTCTTTTTCTAAACCCGCGGCAATAAGATTTACTATTACAGAAATAATATTACCGAAAGTAGCATAAGTTTTTAATTCATCCCAAATACTTTATTAGCGTTGCTATTTTAGAAGTGTATTTTAGAAGAGTATTTTAGAAGTGTATTTTAGTGTGTACCTAATTTTCTTGTTTTTTCTTATTATTATTTTTTTTCTTTTTTTTTTTAGTAAAATATAATACATTTATAAATAATGTCATGTGCAATAAGTACATTAATTAACGTTCAATTTTAATATAATATTTTTGTATAATTTTGTTTAGATAACATGATATTAAATATCATTCCTTGCACGACGCTGCTTTATTGGATCGCGGCTATTGTGTCGGGTGGTGTAATATTGCTTCTGATAGGCCTCCGTTTGTACGTTTTTTGCACTTTGGGCATTTGCAAAAGTAAAAACCGTATGGATGGTAAAACGGTAATAATCACCGGATGTACCTCCGGTATTGGTAAGGAGACAACAAGGGATCTCGCCAAGAGAGGTGCGAGGATCATTATGGCATGCAGAAACACGGATATTGCTAATCAGTTAAAAGGTTTCGTAACTAAAATAACTATTATTTTAATAACATTGTAATGGAAGTAGCCATGATAAAAATGCGATAATTATCCTAGTTCTAGTTAATTCTTTATCTTTTTTAAAAATTATCATTGTTATAAAAATTTCTTTTATTTATTCTTTCATTAAAATTACACGGAAATATGTAGGCGTAAAAAACACTACGGGTTATTATCTATGTACAATTTACTGAACTTAATTGATTGTAATTTAATATTTCAATTACAGTATTGTTCCGACTGAATTGTCTATGAGCAATGAATGAGTAATGCACACGTTAGCTTATATAATTAGAGATAATGATGTCGCTTAATTATAATTGTAAATCAAAACGTGGCCACTGAGTAAAGCTGGTTTCTATCGTTACACATGCATTTAATTATTATGTAAAATGTATTTAGGCTACCTGCATAATTCTCTGAACAGCATTTCCTCGTTCGTCATTAACTTATTTCACAATTATGTTATATAGGATATATAACTTTACTAACTAATAATCATATAAGTCAAATATAACACATAAAATTTGAGATAAATAGATACACATACAAAATGTCGTATTTGTAATGCAAAGTTAAAACAAAAGCAAGAAATAAGATCTCTCCTTATGATATTTCACTCTTGGGGCCAATTAAAGCCATTTATTTTCAATTACTCCTGAATTCAAATATTAAAAGCGGTATATTATTGCGATATAAGCAATGTGAAACTCTACATTTTATGTAGGGATATACTTTTCGATATATGTTCTGTAATAAATAAATGTGTCTGACATACACATATATTTTATATGCAGACGAGATTGTGAAAGAATCAAACAATGGCAATATCACAGTCCGTAAATTGGATTTGTCATCGTTGCAATCGATCAGAAAGTTTGCGTGGCAGATAAATCAAGAGGAAAGCAGATTGGACGTGTTGATCCATAATGCTGGGACTGCAGAGACTTTCAGGAAAATAGTTACGGAAGACGGACTAGAACAGACTATGGCTACCAATTACTTTGGGCCATTTTTGCTGACGCATCTTTTAATCGGTAAGAAATTATAACGCAAAAACGTGTTTACTAATTTGTCTATTGTGCTAACGCATTTATTTTGTGTAAAATAAAAATAGAATATTTCTTTATTCGGTCCGTTGGCACATTGTGTTTAATTATTATAAATGATTTTAAATTGTAAAATAACAATTTACTACGCAAATATTGTGTGTGTGTGTGTGTGTGTGTGTGTGTGTGTGTGTGTGTGTGTGTGTGTGTGTGTGTGTGTGTGTGTGTGTGTGTTATATATCTACGCTTATATATACACAGAAAAGAAGGAATACTTACTCTTGATTTGAAAATATCCTTAGTTTCAACATTGGAAAAGTTGGAAATCTTAAAATGAGATTATATTGCGTTAAACGAAGAAAATTTTCTTGAATAAAGTCATTATATAGTTCAACCAAGAAAAAAAGTGTTGAAATAAAAAGTTGAAGATCTACATCTTATAAGAAGATGTAGATTGTTTCGTATATACGCAAGATTACTATAATTTTCTTATAAGAATTCCAACATTTTATTTCAACATTTCAACTTTTTATTTCAACATTTTTTTCTTGGTTGAACTATATAATGAGTTCATTCAAGCAAGTTTTCTTCGTTTAACGTAATATATAATCTCATTTCAAGATTATACATATATTCTTGCGTATATATGAGTATAAACAGTGTTGATTTGACACTGTTCTTTTTTTTCTGTGTATATATATACAGGGTGATTCAAAGGTTACTGCCAAACTTAAGGAGCGTATAGAGGGATCAAAATAGAACAACCTGCGATTAAACCTCCGATTCACCACCGTTTTTTTACTGCTTTCGTTGTCCCTCTGGGTCCGTTTTGTCCAGACCTATATTTTTTTCATTATAAGCTTTCAAAAAATTTGAAAAAATTCAGGGTTACTTTTCAGGATCTCTACTACATTATCCAATATAGTTAAATGTTAAAAGTTTTTTTTAATAACAATTAAATGTTTAAAAAAATGAAGAAAAAATCGAAATTTGTTTAAAAAATCATATCTTTGCAATAAGTAAATATTAAGAAAAGCTGTTGCAGGGTTTTATACTTCAGACCATGACCTTTCAGAAAAATACAGACTCATCTGTCCCGGCTTCAAAAAGTATATTTATTTTTAGGCCTGAAAGTGGGGTAATTTTATAACGTTTTATGTATAGACAATAAATGAAAGAAAACAATTTTTTTTATAAATCATTATTTGTTACAAAAAATTAATATTATTGTAAAATAGATTTTGAATTTTAAATAAAGTATACAAAAAACGAATATAACAGAAATAATTTATAGAGCGCAGTCGGTACAATACTGCCTTGTCGTAATGCTGGGACTGTCAGTCACGTAGATAGTAATATATTTCCTCAACATTTCTTTCCGCCATACTAGATTTCAGTACATAAAATTTACTTACTTGCGCGAAACACTAACGCCGTGACCCCCCCTGGGTCCATTTGAGCACAATCGTAAAGACTCGACGCTGTTCAACGACAAGCTGCCGGATCCTGGCGTCCCTTGGTGCGTGAGTTCTCACTACTAACAACTTTTTTTAGACGGGGAGTCAGACCTGGCTTCTCTTTATTTCGGAGATATTTGAGCTCAAAAAGACCCAGAGGGGTGACGGAGGGTTAAAAATCTATGTTCTCCGAAGTAAGTTCCGGATGTATTAGTAAATAGTTCCCGGATGCCCCTGGTAACACCAGGTTAGGCCACACGTAGGGTTTTTAGCCGGTAAGAGTCCGGCATAACCATCCGCCCTTCCGCGGGGGCGGCGGTGGTACTCATAATTTTCCCTACGTTAAAAAAATAAAAAAAAGTGTTCTCCGAAGTAATCCTGAGTCAGTATAAGTCTTTGAATATTTGGAACTCGAATAATATACTTATAATGAAATAAATCGCAATTTGCTACTCTTCTACTAGCTTTATTTTGTGTTTATTAAGGTTTTATTAAGGATTACGTGAGATTCCTTTTGGAATATTTAAAGGAGTGCGCCAAAGTTATGTTCAATGATGCAATGCTTACATTGAATTCGGAGGTCGCCAATTCAAACACCTTTTGTAAATTCAGTTTGTGTGCTAATGTAATCCTTAACAGAACCTTAATAAAAACAAAATAAAACTAGTGGAAGAGATGAAAAAATTACACACGATAATTTCATGGCATATATTATCCGAGTTCCATACATTCAAAGGCCTGTACTGAGGATTACTCAGGATTACTTCGGAGAGCATACACTGAGAAAAAAATGTTGTAAATTTGACTAAACTCGTTTAGTTGTAGTGATTTGTTTAATGCAAATATTAATATATTTAAATCAAATATACGTGAGTAATATCAAGAAATTCTGAATCTATTTAAATATAATATTTTTTGAATTAACAAATGTTAGCTTGACAGCCCGTGACCACTGCATTTAGTTGAATCAAATAATATTTCTTTGAATCTACGATTTTTTTTTCTCAGTGTAGGTTCCTGATCAAAAGTTATTCTATTTTGACCATTCCATACGCTCTTTAAGTTCGGCAGTCACCTTTGTACATATCCATTAGTCACTTTTATCATTTATTTCTTAATCCCTTTTGAGTAGCAGAAAAATAAGCACCAAAACAAACCAAAAATGGCAAGATAAAAATTCAAAAAGACAAAAAATCTTTAAGTAGCAAGTTTTGTGAAAATCTTGCTAACTGGAGAAAAATAAAACGATGTGCGCGTATATGTGTCAATGCCACTTTTGGCACATCTTTTTTTCTGCACGTAATGCGGCGCGTCAATGCCACTCAAGGGATTAAATATATATATTAATTAGTCACCTTTTATTATTTATTTCCCTGAATATATATATATATATTATATATATATATATATATTCAAGAAATATAAATGATAAGAAGTGATTAATGAGAAACCACAGTTGTATGATAATGAGGCCGTTCAGTTTTTATTTTATAATTTACGCAAAATCTTTAGAAATAATAAAAAGCGCTATTATTTTATATCTACGTCATTCACCGGTAGATAAAGTATGTTTCTTTATAATTACGTAAATTATTTCGTTACAAGGAAATCTCATTATTTACAGATTTATTGAAACAATCGAAACCAAGTCGCATCATAGTGGTTGCGTCAGAACTTTATCGATTAGCGTGTTTAAATCTTGACAATATTAATCCAACATTGACCTTGCCGGCGTATCTGTATTACGTATCAAAGTATGCGGATATAGTCTTTACATTGGAGCTGGCGCGACGTTTAGAGGGCTCGGGAGTGACGGCAAATTGCTTACATCCCGGGATGATAGACAGTGGAATCTGGCGAAACGTACCCGCTCCGTTATCTTGGGGTTTGAAATTAATAGTTAAGGCTTTCTTCAAAACACCCAAGCAAGGCGCACATACGACTATTCATCTCGCAGTTTCTGACGAACTTAACGGAGTTTCGGGAAAATACTTTATGGATTGTGCCGTAAGAATTATTGTTGATCTTCTAAAGCTTGATTTTTTTCCCCAAAAAACTTCAATATTTCAAGAATTTTAGCGATATATGTATATAACTTTTGATTCTTTTAATTTAACGTTAAATCCCGCGTTAAATGCTCTTTCCTTAATTCTTCTTAAAACACTCTAAATATATTTTAGGAACGTGGATTATCGAATGCTGTGAAGGATCCTGCTAAAGGCAAGAAATTGTGGGAATTAAGCGAGCCTCTGGTGAGGTTGCAATCATCAGACCCGAAGATTTAAATGCAATCTTTTTTGTAAATTTTTATATAATTTTTAGCATTTGTTATATAAGTAACAATTTTTTGTACTTAAGATATATTTTAATAATGATTTCACTTAACTTGCCAGTACAACTTGCCTCATAATGAAGTATCGAAACTTTATTAATAAATATTTTTTATACTAAAAAATAATTTTGCAAATATTATAATTTTGCAGAAATAACTTTTATTAAAAAAGAAACTTTTCTTAAATAAAATAATGATATAACTGTATTTGCATATGTTGAGTAATAAGATTGATGTATGTATGTACTTTTACTTAATGACTTAATCAGCTAGGTCATCAGTAGGTATATGTATTGCACATTACGAAATCGGCTGTAGATATCGATTTCTATTTCGAATTCAAAGGAAACAAACTGTCCCATTTTTGCATTCTATCGGGATAAAGTCCTGTCTTCATTCTTGGTTCCTCAGAGATTTCTAGATAGTTGTCTTTCTCTGGTAAGTAAGGTTCCCATGTAACATTCTTAGCCAAAGCTGGAGATACTGGCTGTCCAGTTTGAACGAAATTCGACCACATGCTTGTCATAAGTTCTACTGTAGGAATTTCCGGGTCATCGTTTTCGAAGAATGGAAATTTGAATTTCATGAAGAACAAATATTGCAAATCGTCATGATGCACCACGCCTTGAATGATAAAATAAATAACAAATTTTAGTTACACATAATTTATGCAGAAGTTACAAACATCAAATCGTGATATGTGCTATAAAGCAATCTGAACAATTTGAATCAAGCAATTTGAATAAAAAAGTAAAATACAAGAATAAAAATAATACCGTATGGTGTGGTTTCGTTCCACATGACAAAACTGTATCGTCCTTGATAAGAAGACACATAAAAGTAGATGGGTTGGTCGGTGTTTTCGGCGATTAATTTTACAGAACTATGCATTGGATATGTAATTATTGCATCGGTGTTGATCTGAAATACAAAACATAATTATATATATATATATATATA